TGGGTTCTAAACCCTAAACCCTAAACCCTAAACCCTACACCCTAAACCCCCCTAAACCCTAAACCCTAAAGCCTAAACCCTAAACCCTAAACCCTAAACCCTAAACCCTAAAACCCTAAACGTAATTGCTTTGAACGGACCAGTACTGATCCCGAGGAGAACCTGCTCCGGTGCTGGGTCCGACATGAGTGCCGCGGTCCCCATGGCTGTGGGGTAGGGTTTAGGGTTTAGGGNNGGTTTAGGGTTTCGGGTTAAGGGTTAAGGGTTAAGGGTTTAGGGTTAAGGGTTTAGGGTTTAGGGTTTAGGGTTTGGGGTTTGGGGTTTAGGGTTTAGGGGCTGCGCCATCGAGGTCGATGGGGTTTAAGCGCTGCCCACCCACGTAGGTGGGCGGCTTAAGCCTGGAGTTCAGGGTTTAGGGTTTGGCGTTCAAGGTTTCAGGGTTAGGGTTTTGGGTTTCATGCGAGTACCTTCAAACTAAGCTTCATCCCTCACCCCTCTGCCCCAAAACCACCTAAAGGCTCTAAACACCAGAAACCCTTCTAGAACCGATATGGATATCTTATCGGCCCTTGCAGAACCCCAAACCCCGAAACCCTACAGCTCGCACTTCAAGAATAACCTAGAGCTCTGCCCTCCCCCATTTCCCTTTGATCTCTCGCCCATAACCGAAAGCATCCCGAACTCACGGACAGCCCTATAAAAATTCGAAGAAAAGCACAGACAAAATAGAAACAACAGAATCAACAAAAAAGTGAAGTTGAAAGCCTGAACCCTAAGCCCTAAACCCCAAAAGCCCCTAAACCTTAAACCCAAAGAGGTGCCTTGCCGGCCAAGCCGGAGGAGGCCAACAGCGCCAGCAACCACGCAGCCATTGGCTCCGCCGAAGATGCAGCTAACAACGAGGAAAACGACACCCTAAACCCTAAACTCTAAAAACCCTAAACCCTAAACCAGGTCTGCTGGTGCAAATCTGAAGGCTGGATCTGGAAAAGGGGCGTCTTACTTTCCCAAGCAGCTTCTCGACCTAGATGCTGAGCTCGAAACCCCTAAACCTGGAACCCCTTTAAGGGTTAGGGATAAGGCTGCTTCAAGAGCTGGCCAAAAACGTCGACGACTTTTTTCATGCAGCTCAGAAACTCTTGAAACAGATGGCGCCATCCATGCAATCAGCTTTCCAACCTCAATCCTGTAGGTCCCAAACCCTCCAACCCCAAATCCCTGCAGTTTCTCCGTGGAACCTACTAAAATCCTGGATGTGTGAGGCTTTCGCTAGGGCTTCCTGTAAAAAAAACCCTAATCCCTAGTCCCCAAACCCTGAACCCTAAACCCTAAACCCCTAAACAGGGTTTGATAATGAGTCTTAGGGTCTTTGGGTCTCAGGCTCAAGGGCTCTAGCGCTATAAGGCTTCCCTTAGGGTTTAGGGTTCAGGGCTTAGGGCTTAGGGTTCAGGGTTTAGGGTGCACCTCACGTCGTATTGAGATTGCTGAGGTTGCTGACCTTTCGTATTGCAGAATTGGCCGCTTGCCTTCTTGCGCCTGCACTGTTTCTGGACCTTCACGGTGCTCCAAGCCATCCATGAGATAGATCGCCTCCTAAACCCTAAACCCCCAGCCCTGAACCGTTTTATAGCGGACGAGGAGGAAGCCCTTCAGGCGGACTCATTCAAAAGGTGCGGCGCCCAATACCAGTCCGAGTGTCAGCAAGAGGATCTCGGCCCAGCCACGCGTTTAGGGCTTAGGGTGTAGGGTTTAGGGCTGCTTTCGCCTCCTTCTCTTGATGTCGTTGCTTCTCCGCCTCCGGATCCTCAAATGGGCAGTTCTCTAAATTGGGGGCCCCCTTTAAGGGTCCTGTTTATACGGGTGTTATACTACTTGGGCACCTAAAGCGGGACCCTAACTTAGAGAACTTCCCAAAAGCCGAAACTCGGAATCTTGACTCCTAGCACAGCGGTCTCAAAAACTCAATACCTATCGCCCTCAGTCCTCAAACGACAGTCTGTAAATTCACAGCGCGCACCCGGAACCAAAGGACTTTACAGATCAAATCTTCTGAACCTAGAACAACGAACTTAGCTGGAATCCAAATACAGGGCATCCATAAAGTGTAACGGGCCAGCATAAATCATCGAATCCTAAACTGAATAGTGGCCCTTACCCGATAAACCCTAAACCCGCAATCCCCCAAAGGCCTAAACCCTAGACTTCCTAAACCACTAAGCCCTCAAAGACTAGGCCCCAAACCCTGGACCCTAAGCCCATAATCCCGTTAAGCCCTGCAACCTGCAGCACCAAAACCAAAGGCAAGGTCTCCGAATGCAGTTATAAGATCCTTCAGGGAGGGTGGCTCAAGGGGGGAGGGTCCTAGGGAGCTCTAGAGAACCTAAGGGAGTACTAGGGAGAATTGGGGATTTCTGGGTTATATACCCCCCCCTTAAAACCCCCTCCCTCCAGGATTCCATAAATTGCAGGTATTGCCTTGCTGGTAGGAAACCATGCTTTGGCCGTACCGCGCGGACGGCGTATCCTGCCAGGGCTTGTTTAGACTGCGAGGGGCACGGAATCAAGACCCAACATCCCAAAACCCCAAACCTCCAACCCTTAGCCATAAACCCCAAACACGACGTAAGCCCTAAATCCTAACTCCGAAGCCCTCCGTTAACCAACAAGAAAGCATGGCAAACCTAAGCACTCTACCCTGAACTCGCCTGAACTCTCAACTCTACATCGGCCTGCAGCCTAAACCCAACCCCCAATCAAATCCGAAAGCCCTAAACCCTGAACCTCAAACTTAGGGTTTAGGGTTTAGGGTTTAGGGTTTAGGGTTAAACTTTAAACCCTAAAAACAAAAACGAAAGTTCTAAAAGTTCTAAAACCCTCAATCCCACAACCCACCCTAAAAAACAAAAGACTGCGCTGAGCCCTATGCCCCCAGACCTCAATACATCAAAACTACTACCTAATATGAACAGAAATACTCTGATTGTTGTTATGACAACAATGAGAGCAACACTAATGATAAGAATGATCCCAACAAAAATAATACTAAACCCTAAACCCCAAACCCTCAAGTCTAGGACACCATACTATACCCTCAACCCTAAAGGCCCTAAACCTAACAAACATCGTGTGCCTCAGGCAGGGCCAGAGCTGCGGCGACCTCCGCGGGCGTCTTCGGCGAGGCGAGGAAGATGAAGGTGGACTCCAAGTCCAGCCTCCACTTTCGGGTTTAGGGTTTAGGGTTTAGGGTTTAGGCCTCCACTTTGGGGTTTAGGGGTTTTAAGGTATAGGGCTGCTTGATGCTTTTTGGGGGCTCCAGCCTCCAGTTTGGGGTTTAGGGGTTTTAAGGTATAGACGGTATAGGGCCTTTTGGGGGGTCCAGCCTCCAGTTTGGGGTTTAGGGGTTTTAAGTTATAGGGCTTTTGGGGGGGTTTAGGTTTCGGGCATTTCAAGTTTGCGGTTTAGGGGTTTTAAGGTATAGGGCTTTTTGTGGGGTTTAGGTTGAGGGCATTCTGGGGGTTTAGGGCACAGAGGATTCAGAGCTTAGGATTTTAGGGCTCGGGATTTTGGAGCTTTGGGTTTGGGGCCCTTAAAGCTTGGGGTTTGTATTGATGTATGGGTTTAGGTTTAGGGATAGACTTATGGGGGGTTTCCCAAAATAGGGGACCCTACTATAGTACCCTAAACAGTAGGACTCAGTAGGATCCTTATTAAAAGGACCCCCAAATAAGGTACCCTAGTTTTCGGAAACTCCCTTATGGGTTCCTGTCACGAGCTCAGGGGGATGATCTGTTCAAGGTACATAATTGGGTCTAGCGTTGAGGTGTTCAAGCTGAGCATCTTAAGGCGGGTTTCAAGAATCGTTTAACCACCTTAAATCCTAAGCCCTAAATCCTAAACCCCTAAATCCTAAACCCCTAAATCCTAAACCCTAAATCCTAAACCCTAAACCCCTACACCCAAACCCCTGTTTAGGGTATGTGACCAGCGCCTCACCGGCGGGGCGCGGAGCTGCAAGGGTTCACCTTCCACGACGGCCAAATGCACCAGGGAGCGGAAGGCCTGCCAAGCTTTAGGGGTTTTGGGTGGTTTAGGGGTTTAGGGGTTTAGGGGCTTAGGGGTTTAGGGGTTTAGGGGTTTAGGGGCTTAGGGGTTTAGGGCTTTTTTTTGGTTTAGGGTTTAGGGGCTTAGGGTGTAGAGGATCTAGGGATCAAATTCAGGCTAAGGCGGGCTTCACACTTTTTGGAGGACTTGTGTCCTGGGTTTGGGGTTCAAGGATGAGGGTATAGCGGGCACAGCTGTTAGACGAGTTCAGGGCTGAGGCTTACGGTCAGGAACCCTAAACCCTAAACCCTAAACCCTAAACCCTAAACCCTAAACCCTAAACCCTAAACCCTAAACCCTAACCCGCATTTAGCAGGCTCGGGGTTCAAGGGCTCGGCCCTCTATGGGTTGGCATTAAGGAAAGGCTCACCTGAGCCTGCTCCTCCTCACGATTTTCGGATTCAGCGAGGAAGATCGGAAGCCGACAAACCTCGCGGAGGCCGGTTGACACCCTGCGGCCCTGAGGCGACACCTTGCAAGCCTCCCTTAGCCTTAGGCGGCTGCGACACTTGCTCTGTTCTCCACTGTCGTCCGCGCATCCGAAGGAGCGATCGGATCGCAGAGAGCGGTGCATAACTCGGAGCCTTGCACAGAGGCTTTGGGTTGCAGGTCCAAGCGAGCATCGTCTCAAGCTGGGGCCCCCACAGAGGTAGTGCCGTTGTTGAGGTCGCAGGCGTTGACAGCGAATACTCAAAGAACCCAGCTGCTCCAAAGCCGATGCCCAGGCAGCAAGCACCGTCAGCAAGCTGCCTGGCATGGCATGTAAGTGCCCAGACTGATTGCCTGAGCTCATCTTGCCTCGTCCGAATGGCAGGAGGACCCCCTGCTGCTGGAGGAATTGAAGGACTCCCGGAGTCCTGAAGTCACAAATGACGTCCGCGTGGACGGTGCCAGAATGGCCTTCGGCTCTCAGGGACAGACACGGCCGGATGGCTGGGATCGACCTGGGCGGATTGGCACAGGATGGCACAGGCTCCCATCCTTTTTAGGCAGGCAAGGCCCGCGCAAATCTGTCTGGCAAAAGCACCCTGGCCACTTCGGCTAGATCTGCTCCATCCTCACATCTCCACAGATCTTCTGTGTGCCGTGATGGAAGTGCGTGCGACGGGGACGTCCTCCGGTGGCAGAAGTAATGGTTCTTCCTTGCTCAGCGGAAGCATCATGAGCTTGCTTGCAGCGGACCTCCAGCAGTGACAGACTCCAACTACACTATGAGTACCACAGTATACTACAATGGAAGCTCATACCCTGCTGCCTGAGGGCAGCACGGATCTGCCGCTTCTTGTAGGTCCCATGCTGGAAGCAGCCAGCATCGATCAAAAGCGGCTAGAAAGTCCTCACCCAGTCCATCCTGAGCACAAAAGCAAGTCAGATTCTCTAGTATAGCTTGGTATACTACAGTGCATTATCGTATCTATCGGATACTGATGTATCTTATGGTATTTACTAGTATAGTACATTTTGATGCGTATCATTGTACGACGTACTCAACCTTCCCCAACACGACTGAGACACAGGCCAGCTCGGCAAATGCCCAGAATGCACGCAGCGTCGACTGGGCCGTGTTCTCGTCGCCGAAGACTTTGAGGGACCTTCGCTAGTAAGGTATATCACATTATATCTACAATAGTACATTGTAGCCGAGTACTAGAGTATTTTAGCTTACTAGAGTATATTGTAGCATTGTAGTCTAGCAGATTGTGCATAATCTGCTCCTAGGCCCACGGCTCCGCTGCGACTCGCCGGAAGGACTCTGATCTCAGGGGACCTGCGGAAGCCCAGACTACGCATTCCGCAGGGGTTTCAGCATCGTTTTAGGGTCATGGCCTCCCAGCCGATCTTCGATCGCCGCTTGCAGTGAGGAGTATTCCAGAGGTGGGGCTCGGATCGCCGGAAAGCCGGCGATTAGAGCCGTGGCCAATTGCTCCGAAGTTCTCACATTTTCAATGCCTAACCCGACCGCACTGGCACCCAATCTTGCAATTCCGTCTTCGTCAACACCCGACAAGTTCAAGGTCAGAGCTGGCACGAGCTGCTGCAAGACCTGCTGGGCCAGGGCGCTGGAACCGGGAGCCGATCCGCCGGGAAAGGCGTAGTACAAAGGCGCGCCGGCGCTGAAGGCTGCGACCTTCCCGCTGCAAAGAGGCGCCAACTTCAAGCCTTGAAGTGCTGACACCACATCTGCCGGAAGCTCCTCGCTGAGGACGTAGCCCAAGAGTTCTATAGCGGTCAGGGCATCCAAGTTGGAGCGAGTGTCTTCGCGCAGGCACGACAGTACCAAGGCGGGGTTCACTTCCGCGTGTCTGGCTGAATTCGCAGACTTGAACTCTTCGGAAACGCTGCGAGCCACTTCGCAGAATTTGAATCCTTTCCCACTGCTAAGGTACTCGTGAACTGCTTGATGCTGCTTGCCTCGGCCCTCAACTAGTGTCAGGGGCTGCACAGAAGCCGTAAACGACAACAGCTTCACTGAGGGCTTGGTGTCAGCCTCGTGAAAAATCTGAGCCGCGAAGGAACGGGCGCTCTCCACAAGTTCGGAAGCTGTGGATGATGAACTGTGTCTCGCAAACACCAAAGGCGGGAACAACGCAGCACTCGAAAGCTCCTTGTAGATGGACGGAAGGTTCAGAAGCTTTCGCAGACTGTGCGGCAGCTGACTCTTGCAAGGCATCAAAGCGCAAATCCCTTCCTTGCCCACGACCCAGTGTGCAGCATCTGCACTCGGGCTTTGGCTCCGAACGGCCTGTATGGCTCCAGCCTGCTCCCTTACCAGCGTACAGATGAGAGGCTCCACGATGTGCCGGAGGAGCATGCTATTCCAGTCAGATGCAAAGCCGGAGCCAGCAGCCAAATCCAAGCGACCAGGCGCCGTGGGATCCGTGAGGCAGAAGTTGGCGTTGATCAAGAAGGGCAGCGAGCTAGTCACAGGAAGCGGAAGGAAGCAACAGATCCTGGGTCCATGCAGCTCCCTGGAGAGGCAGACAGCAAGGCCTGCAAAGGGCACGTAGCCGAGGCCCTCTGCCTCGGACTCCCCGAGGAGGGACCTCCAACGATCATCCTCGGGATTGTCATGCTGAAGGAATAGACGCCAGGCTTCCAGAACTGTCTGCTCCTTCCCAGATTGCAGATCCGTCGGAGAAATCCAGCGCACGGAGACGACCACGTTGAAACTGACATACGGCCTCGTCTCTGACTCCGCGGGCTGCTGGACACCCAAGCGGCTGAGAAGGTCGGAGATGAAGGACTGCTTCTCCTTGCTCTTCTGAAGTGACCGCGATGAGAAAACCCGCCTGTATTCCAGCGCACGCTCATCCGTGAAGACTTCAGCGCGTCTCTGGCCGGCTGGGCCCAAAGAAGCTGGCACATTCGAGGGCATGAGGCGAACCTGCAGCAGCGGCGTCGGAACAGCATCGGGACCAGCATCGGGAGGAATCCAGCAGAAGTTGGCCTGCTTCACATGCTGCAGGAAAACTAGACACTCGGCGGCCGCTTCCTTGAAGGCGTGAAGGTACACTGTTGCTTCTTCGGCTGACACGACGGTCTTGCTGATCTCACTCAGCTTAGACGACTCTGGCGTGCGAAAGGGAAGGCGTATCAGGGTACCCTCGTAGGGCGTGGAGGAGGCCAAGTCGCAGCCGAAGAGGCCGTGATACGGTTCGAACTGATCACGGAACTTGTCCAGCACGTCAATCTTCAGGAAACGCAGCTTGATCCCAGGCTTGGCAGGTGATGCACCCATGCCACGCAGATGATGGACGTGTGGATCAAGGAACAGCACAATGTCATCGCTTAAGATGCTGGGCAAGTCCGTCATGCTGTAAACGGAATTGAACCCGAGGCCAAATCTGCCAATCTGGGTCTTGCGGCTTTGCGACTTGCTTTTCTGCATCGAACCGAGTTGCGTGATGTTCTCAAAGTCCTGTGGAGGCTGCCCAAAACCCGCACCCCTGAACCCTGCCAAACCTCAAAACCCCATAATCTTAAGGTACCCCTTACAGGACAGAAACCGCTATGGCACTGCACCCCTTAAAAAAAGCCGTAAAAGGGGACTCCTGACCCCCCAAACCCAAATCTCCTGCGGAGAGAACTTGGCATTGTTGTGAGCCCACAAGCATGGGCCCTGCCAGCGTGCCATCTCTGGTGACATTAGCGACTGCCCGCCAAAGCTCCGCCAGTCCCAAACAAAGTTGATCTCCGTAGCTGTCGCATCATCTGCATTCTGCAGCAGTGCCTTGAAAAACCCCAAATCCTGAGCGGCGGCTTGGTCCAGCATGTCCCGGATCAGGGAGCGCAAGCGGGAGGTTAGGGGTTCCTGCTGTCCGGCGGCCTCAAACCATTCTGGGTCCTTCTCTCCTTCATCGGCTGTGGCCAAAGCCTCTGCTGCAACCTGGGTGCTGAGACCCTGCACCTGAAGAGATTGGGCCACCTCGTTAGAGATGCTTTGATGGACCCAGTCTAGCCCACTGCTCGTCACGGCTCTACTCCTCTTCTGCTGCTCTTCTTCTGACAGCCATCGCATGTTATTGAACACACAACGCTGTGAAGGCCGCAGAGTGCCCTGATTTGTTGGCACCAGGATGGTATCGTGAACCGCTTCCCCATGACCACGGATGCGCTCCGACAGGGCCATGGCCAGTCGAACTGCTGTCTCTGTTTCAGCAGTCTGAAGCTGCGGCCGCTTGTCTGCTACATCTGCCATCCGTCGAAGAGCACGGACCAAGTCGGCCGCTTTGAAATTCTGCTTGATCGACTTGCAGAGCTGAGGCGCAGTCCCTTGCAACTCCTTCGGAACCTGATGCAAACCGGCGAGGCCAAAGTCCTGGCTTCTGGACAGATCCTCCATGAGCACAAAACTGCCAGCTACGAAGAGATCTTTGATTCCAAAACCACTGCCACTTTCTTTATCAACACCGTCGTCTGTTCCATCTGCCTGCTTCTCTTGGAGCAGGGGATACACATGCTGGTACAGGCAGTTCGCGACCCAAGCAGAGGCACCATCTTCTTGCACATCGGAAGAACGAGAGGACCACCACAAGCGAATAGCACTCAGTTGAGACCATGCGCAGCTGATTCGCTGGCCTTGGGGCACCTGGCTCGGCATTCCCAGAAGCATGAGCAAGCTGGCCTCTGTACTGGACCTGCGTTCACCAGACAACATAAGTTGTGTGTCCAAGTCGAGCACCGGGACAGCAGCCCCACAGAGCCAGAAGTCTTTCATCAGCGCCATCTCGGAAGGCCGCCAGAACCTCTGGGAATTTCCTATCCAAGGGACAGCCTGGAGCCACTCTCTCGGTGCTCGGGCTGCCGGCACCCATCTGCAGACGCGGAGCTTGCATTTCAGAGTCTCCACATCTCTTTCGCTCCAATCCTCGGCCTTCTCCAGCTCGCCAGGCTTCTCCGCGGGAGGGGAGCTTCCACCCGAGGACAGGAACTCGCCAATCGGGAGGATCGAGGGCCACAGGAAGAAGCTGGCCCGGGATTTATCCTCTGCTGCCTTCAGGGGAGCTGGCTTTGGCGCTTCTGTCTGAGCTTCCTTGGCGGCAGCAGTTTTCTGGGCCTGACAACACACGGTCAGAACCGCTCTCGAAAGTCACGAGCACAGCAGAACTGAAAAAATCCGAGACCTCCTCGCACTTGGCGTTGACACTCACGGCAACGTACTGCAAGAGGCTTTGAGCGCAGGCATAGACCTCCACGTAGCCACGTGGCAGAGGCAGAATCTAGATAGGTGGTTGTCAAAATTATGGTCCCTTTTTGGGTCCTTATTATAGTACGGCACCTATTATTTAGGGTACCCCAGAGGGACCATAATTTTGACAACTACCCAGATGCACAACAAAGGACAACAAAAGCAAAACAGCGCGCCCGCTCCTTCTCCCACTCCAGCGCGTCCTGCAGCGGAGCCTCCTTGCCATCCGTGTCGAGCCCAGGTTTCGCTGCCTCCTCACCTGCACTGCCTCAGCCGCAACAGTTTGGGGCGCCAAGCTTCAGACACTCCTCTCCCCAAACCCTTTCTATACATGCACTGAGCTGAAACCCTTCATGTGTCTTGGAAGTTCGCATACGTCCTCACCCCTTTGGGGATCTCAGGCACCGGCTTCGACCGAAAGCATCGAGGAAAGACAAACGCTCGTTTAGCTCCTGCTATATGGACTCTGAGCGTGTCTTAATTGGAGGGGTTTAGGGTTTGCGGTACCCAACTCGGAGGACCTGGCTCCGGCAATTCATTTCGGAAGATGCAAGACGTCATGCTGGTCTCCTCGAGGGAAAGTTCCTGCCGGAATCGTAGCAGACCCCGCTGCATCAGAGGCTGAAGCACCTTAGTCGGAAATCTGACCCTGACTCCGTCACATTAAGCAGCTCGCTCGAGCTAAACTGCAGTAACGGCGCTGTCCGTACTTCAGCTGATGGGAACGGCCTGCGTCAAATTACACAGGACCGATCCAAGCATGTGCCACTCTGGTGCCAAGCACCGGGCCCCGTCTCACCAATGTAAAGGCTTCGAAGCTCCTGCATGAGCTGAGGGCAACAGTCATGACAGGCACGTTGCCTGGGCCCTGACAACACGTCTCCTCCTTTCTGGGATCCAATAGAGCCGCCGGACTGCAGATCTTGCCCTCCACCTCGACTCAGTCAGCTGACAGACCTCTCCTTCGACTCCGGAAAGTCTCAGCTCCGAGCCGTGGAGATGAAGGACACTCGCTGCAAGGCCTGCGTACGGTCGCTCGCGTGGTAGCAGCAGTGGCAGATGGTCTAAACTACCTGAATGCACTGCTCGTTCCCGGCGAGCTCCATCTCCCTCCAACGTTGGACCTGTGCGAAATCTGCGGTGAAGAGAAGGTTGCATACAGCTACTACAAGCACTCTTATTACTATTACTGGTATTGCTACTGCCAGCACAATTGCGATTACTAGTACTAGCACTATGACTATTATTTTGTGAGTACGGTATTGGTATTGGTATGACCGTGGTCATGGAAAATCTGTCTTCAGGCCAGCTCAGATCAGAACCACAGCAAGAAGAAGCCCTTGACGGGTGGCAGCTTCCACTCCTGGATTCGATGCCTGGCACGACAAGTCAACTCCGATGCATGTATCTTTCGAAAGATACATTTCTATCGCACTTGCACGTATCAAGTTGCTAAGATCGGCACCCATGGAAACACATGCTCCAGCAATACCTTCAAGGACATCCGTCATGGGTGCTTGATTTCTGCTAGCAGCTTCGCAGGCAACAACTCTTCGCAGATAGATGCATAGATAGACCCCATGTGGTGTGCCTGGGGTCTTGGATGGTCTGTAGTATTTGAATCATGGTTGGTGGTCTCTCCACCCTTTTGTCGTGTGTGTGCGTGTGCGGTTCGGGGCTTCAGTGGCAGCGACCGTGAAGTCGCGGGCGCGAAGGGCCCAGCGGAGATGGCTGGCCCGCAAGAACAGACTTTCAGGGCAATAGCAGGCCCTTAGATAATTAGAGTTGTGTAGGGTTTTAGGGTGGATTCGCGGTTGCAAAGACTTGTGCGGGGCTTTGGGTGGGATATTCTACGTAGTTTTACATAAGCAAAACGGGGACAGTATTACTAGTTCTTCCGAACTGTGTATCAAGGTGAGCGATGTTGATGCGCAACTTGCTCAACATGCATGTTGTGCGCCGGCAGCTCGTATGTACTTGCGTGGCGTAGCTTGACCACAGAACTTTTTTCTAAATGCTTCGGCCTTGTGTGGTATCGGGGAGTGGACGTGGCAGACCGCACGTTTGCCATGTATGTGCACGTAGACAGCGCGGATCCAAGTTGGGATTCCCGGCCTCCCCGAAGCCCAGAAAGATCCAGAAGTCTCATTCAGGCTTTTAAGACACTGCTCGGGTTGGGAGCTGTAGACCTTCGGGTTCGAGGCGCTGCGGCAAGGTTGTTTCAATGTATCAAGTTGAACTTTGCGACGACCCCTTATGTTATGTGGTGGCAGTTGTCGACACCAACTAGCAATAACCGCCTTTAAGGCCACGTTTAGACAGAAAATTTCGTCATCATCACCAGTGCCAACAAGAATCACGCAAGAACAACCGCTGCAAGCAGCAGCACCAGCACCCCCCTGCAACCGTAATCACAAAAGTCGCAAAAACAATTACCATGATGATGCTCATCATCATCATCATCATCATCATCATCACCATCCGTATTATCATCATCAATTCTCATTACGATCCTGATCCTTGACATCACTGCGACCACAGTCGCTGTTACCATCGCCATGGTCAATTCATTGTCGTCGCCGTGATGCCTATTCTGAGGTGTATCGGTTTGTCATCACAGCCCCCATCACCATTCACATCACAGAATCCGTGATGCTGGCACCTGGTTATTCCTTGAGGAATGCATCTACGACAAGCTATGAACCTGGCCAGGCCAGCAAGTCGCCCGGTGGCAAGCATCATGAGCATCAGCTGATTGCTGTGCTTCAACCAGGGGGGGGGGGGTGAGCGGGGGTGAGGGGGTCGGCGAACCAGAACCGGGGTCATACACACATACATCATATATATATATATATATATATATGTATAATATATATATATATATATATTATGTATATATATATATACATACATACATACCCAGCTCTGTCATAAGCTAGGCCTCGGCCCAGCTGAGGCGCGGCATTTGCAGCTCACGCAGGAGTGCCGCAATGGAGTCGGTCGCGGGCTCCACGCAACCGGCCCTGAGGATGTGTTGCTGTGGGCGTTCGTTTTGAAGGTTCTTTGCAAGGGTTCTTCAGGGGTTTGGGGCTTCGGGTTCAGGATTTGGGCTATCTGGCTTCCAGAAACATGCTTCCTCCCACCAATCAGACATCCGTCGAGAGCACCGTGCGTCGGGATGCCGTCGCATTGCATCTGTGTTTCTACCATGTTATCAGGGATTCTGACCAGTAACACGGTTATCATTGTGGCAATCCATACCGGGAGCTGATGACGCATGATAACGCAGGGTTGTAGTAAAACGCTAGAATTTACAAGTAGCAGCAGCCGCCCTACTACTCAACTCAAGAATACCGGGGCAGGAGTAGGAGTAGCAGTAGTAGCAGTAGTAGCAGTACTAGTACTAGTACTAGTGCTAGTACTAGTAGTAGTCGTCGTAGTAGTAGTAGTAGTAGTAGCAGCAGCAGTAGTCGTAATAGTAGTAGTAGTAGTAGTAGTAGTACTCGTAGCAGTAGTAGTAGTGGTAGTAGTAGTAGTAGTAGTAGTAGTAGTAGTAGTAACAGCAGTCGTGGCACTAGCGGTAGCAGCAGCAGTGCAGCAGCGGCAGTAGCTGTGGCCGGAGTGGTAGTCGTCGTTGTCGTCGTAGAGCAGTCGTCCGAAGAGTTATCATCATTGCTGCGACTGCCGGTGTCATGATCACTCTTTGGAAGTGAGCGCCGAGCATTGGAACTTGAGCAACCCGGAGCGCAGCCACGACTTCCACACAGGCCTCCACGAAAAAACAGACTGGCTTCGACAGTCTGTCAAGCAAGTGACCTGCCAAACAAAAACCGTTGACATACCGAGAGAAAGATTACAAGCATGAAGACACAACAGGAATGTCTAAAGCCCAGCAAACTGTGCTCAATCAAGAACGGATGCATAGGTAGGCCTCTGCGTGTGTGCGCATGCATACTGTTCAAGAGTTGTACTACTTGATCAGACATCTTGAATGTCATGCGCTGTAGGATACATGAGCGAACAGTGCGACGAACATCAATATGGTGCAGCAAGCAGCATGGCAGATGGATTAGCGGCTATATACTTTGTCGATGTAGAATGAAGTGGGTATGTGATAACACTCATGGACCCAGTGATTCAAATCCGGCAGAACACTCGAGAGCGGAAGTTAAGTCCAGGCGTCAAGGCCCACCGGCTACCACAACGACGACGACTTCTACTACTAGTATTACCACTACCACTACCACTACGACGACGACGACGACTACTACTACTGTAGTACCATCTCCACCGCCACCGCCACCATGACTACTACTACTACTACTACTGCTGTTACTGCTGCTGCTGATGCTTCTAGTAATAACTGTTATAAGTATTACTGGTGGTATTATTCTTATGATTACCTTATTGCTGTTATATGCTATTATTATTGCTGCTGCTGCTGCTGCTGCTGCTACTACTACTATTACTACTACTACTGCTACTGCTACTGGTGCTGCTGCTGCTGCTAC